ATCTTTGTGTAACACAGCTGGGCATCTGGCTTCTTCTGGCATGGCTGACTTGTTCAACCGACCACCCACTCTGATTACACCGTTTTGTAGAACAGGATCTAACTTGTAGAGTGGACTTGACTTCTTTACGTGTGAACTTTTACTTTGCAGTGAGACCAGCTCATCTGGATACATCTCCCTTTGACTGTAACATATAAGCGCCTGTTCTGCGTTATCCAAATCCAATACAGATAAAGGTCTCTCATCCACTGACCTTCTCAATTTCATTCTTTCCTCTTGTGCCTTTGATTTTAGTTTTGCTGCCTCCATTTCTGTCGGAGCAACAACTGATTCACATTCCTTTCTCATAACAACAAGAGAATGGAGCGTGTCTTTCATGCGCAACATCCATGCAACAGCCTTCTTCAGTTTATGCCAGTCAGAATAGTATTCAACCAATTTCCTCATAGCAGTAACCTTGGTTGTGCTGAGGTGACTGGCTAGGGCTGCCTTTCTTACTTCTGTAGCATCATTCATGATGCTGGGCAAGTCAGGTTTTGTAGGCCACTCGCTAGGATGTTTACAAAGGAAATGTGGTCCGTACATCCAACATTCCTTCTTGAAAAGACTGGTGAACTTCATACCTCTTGAGGCTAAATCTGCTGGATTAAGCGAACTATTCACATATTTCCACTGGCATGGGATAGTAGCTTCAAGGATGAATGAAACCCAATTATCAACAAAGGTTTCGAAGCGTGAAGCATCATTCTCAATGTACCTCAGTACAGTAAGACTGTCTGTCCAGAAAACAGAGTCTTCAAGTTTAGTCTCCAACTCCTGTCTTAATAGTGTATCTACTTTCACTGCTATAACTGCTGGAGTTAGCTCCATTCTAGGCATTGTGATCTTTTTCAATGGTGCTACTCTGGACTTCCCCATCAAGAATGTGCAGCATTTCTGTCATTCTTCGCCAGTAAGTACTATGTATGAAGCTGTCCCATGCCCAGTTTCACTGGCATCTGAAAAATGGTGTAACTGAGCTCTAAGAGTGGGACCAAAGCCGTCCGGCTTGATGCATCTGCTCACCTGAAAACTGGATAGCTCCTGGAGATCTGAAAGCCACTGGATCCACTTTTGTGAATGCCTTTCCCCAACTTCATCATCCCAGCTTAACTTCTCTTGACAAAGCTCTCTCAATATCAGCTTGGCTGGGAGAATACATGGAGCAAGCCAACCTAAAGGATCATAGACAGAGCTTACTACTGAGAGTATTCCTCTTCTTGTAGCTGGTCTTTCTAGCATATTTACTTTAAAACTGAAGGTATCCGACTCCGTGCACCACTGAACTCCTAAGGCTCTTTCAGTTGGCAGTATGTCTTTGCTCAGGTCTAAGTCCTTCATTTCCGCAGTTCTATAACAGACAATAAAACCTTTCTGCTGTTGCTGACCCATTTGGTCAAGTGGAATCCACCATTTAAACATAAGGATCTCAGAGACTGTGAAAGCACTACTGCTTGTTCTTCTGATGCTACAGATTTCAAGCAATCATCCATGTAGAAATTTCTCAGAATTGTTTCAGCAGCCTTAGCTGTTGCTTTATCTCTTCCATCTTCTGCTGTCTTTCTCAAGGCAAAACAAGCCCATTTTTGGGGGTGCTTCAGCTGTAATATTTTAATAACTAGTATAGATACCCCCCCCACCCAGCCCCGAAAAATGGTTCGTTCCAGCTTCACTCTCCGCTACTCTGACAATGGTGGCTGAGACGCATTGGAGCGGTGGTGTGAGTACTTGGCTTAAAACAGGACATGTTAGCTGCATTTAACCTTCAGTAACTCTTTCTTTATATAGTTAGGTAGTAGGAGTCAGACCATGTCTCCTATTAGCTGAAAAACATTACCCCAGGGCTCTCAAGTGTCACGCATTGAGAGTGACAGTCACTCTTTTCATTCTTTTGTCACACACTCCCGCCACACATTGTATTTCTCACGCGGAAAAATAATTTGTAGGCTAATATGCCGCAGAGCCCAATTTTTCCCCAGACCGCGGCACAGTAGCGCCTCACTTTAAAATAAGCTTGTCTCCGCTGGAGTCTAATGGTGCGTTCGTTTTTCTCTCGGAACTCGGAAATTCTGAGCTGAGTAACATTATGATACATTCGAATATTTTAAAATGGTCCCCAGCCCCAAACACACTCATGACTACAAGACTAAGGCCCAATCTCATTTCTCCACCCTTAGCCCTACCACTAAATATCGAGGGCCCTCCCTTCCGAAGTTGACTTCACAGCTCGTAGCCACAAGGGGTAGGGCTTGGAATCGGGACACCACTCGCTTATGAGCTGCCTGGTTTGCTCGGGAGTCCCTGGAATAGTACAACATGCTTATAACACGGAGAAGTCACTTTAACATTACAACATGATTATACCACTGACGTGTCCCTAGAATATTACAAAATGATTATGACACTGTAGATTTGTGGATTAGCATTCCTTTGGCAATGGCACGCAGATTTAAAATTAAGAATATTGCATGCAATATTTCTATAAAACATGCACACATTTTGCATAAACAATGTGTTTATGTTGCATAAACAATATGTCAGAAACAATGTCTTTTACATATTCCACGATGTAGAATAATGCACTTAGAAGACTATTGAACGAAACACAGAAAACAATAGGGGGTGAGTTTCCCAAAAGTGTCGTAGCCAAAAAACTACATAAAACGGACTATGAATGCTCTCTCTGAATAAATACGTTCTTAATTCTTCGACGGTTTTGTGAAACTCACCCCTGCTCAGTTCTTTTTCTATAAATACTAGAATAGTAGAGATACTGCTCTGTCTCTACGCACGGAATTAGTAGTGTTGTAGTCAAGACCGCCTAAACCGAGACCAAGACATTGCCGAGACCGGAGGGTATCAAGACCAAGACACTGCCGAGACGTGAGGGTACCAAGACCAAGTCCAAGACCAAGACATACTAAGGTGAGACCAAGACCAAGACTGGTCGAGACCAAGACCAAGACCGAAAACAGACTAGGGCTAGAATCGACATCACATTACCCAGATCAACTGTAGAGAAAAAAGGCATTGCTGTAAAGTGTCATTACTCGTTAAATCAAATTCATGTTATCTTTTCAATTATATTGTCCGTATGTCCATACTGTATGTCTCTCATTTAAAATCTCCCAGATTTGTCAGTTACGAGACCTGATAGAAAATAATATTCTCAGCAATCCTCTCCTATAACCATTTTATCAGACCTCGTCAAGGGAAAGAGATGGGATGTACCAGAAAGATGTTCATATTAAGTCTCTTATACCAGGGACAGAGGCCTCGGGTAAGCTATGAATACAGCTATGTAATGATCCTTTGCTTTGAATTGAAGAGAATGAGCCTCCAGATTGACTTGCACCTCCAAGACCATGCTTTCTAATCAATGTAAAATACCTAATTTATTTGAATTATAACTATGCTATAGACTTCGCGGACATTTTCGGACATTTTTTTGCCGATGTATGATACGATGTGTATGATGTTTGTGGACTGTGAAGCACTGGCAGTGTCCGTGGAGAAAATGTATAAAATGTAACGTTTTTCAAATGGATGCATCTGACTGGTTGCATTTGAATTGAGGCGCGTAATAAATAATGATACTGTTCTGTGAGGATGTGCAGTTTTCTCTTTTTTTCCCCATCCCATCGAGACCGCTATGTCCGAGACCAAGACAAGACCGAGACCAAATAGAGTCGAGACCAAGACAAGACCGAGACCACAAAAAATTGGTCTCGAGACCGGTCTCGAGACCAAGACCGGTCTCGAGAACTACAACACTAGGAATTAGCGATTTTCAGAAAATTGTTTGTGAAAAATTCAACCTCATACTCCGTTTCACTTACATTAAACTAAGATATTCTGCTAAAATTAGTTTTTTTTATATATTTATAAAGATATGAGCTTCTTTCCCCACACCGCTAGGCATCTTTTCTTTTCTTGTTGTGTATTGCAATGCATTGTAGGAATTTTCTTCTTTCACTCGGTTTTGAGTCAGCATCTGAAAAATCTTCGTTTCGAGGGCTATCTTGAGGGCTGAACACCACTACCCCTCGCTGCTAAAAAGAAATGGGACAACACTACCCTACGCGGGTACGCGCAAAACGGAGGGGTAGGGCTAAGTGGGGGTATTGGGATTGAGCCTAAGTACAACCCTTCTGGATCATGCACCTGGCACTGCAACTATTTTTCCATCATTAAAATAGCAAAAGTGAGTTGGCCAGGATCTAAAACGATTTGCGCCATGTGCTTCAGACCATGCACTTTATTAAAACAGGGCCCAGTCACTTTAGACCAGGTTTTGGTTGGTCCATAGTGCACTGCTTTCCATTGTCTCAAAACAGCAATGCACCAACAATTCACCTGACTACACCTTATTTTAAGACCTACACACACATGGGTGCTCAAATGGGCGCAAGTACATTTGCTGTTTAAACAACATGGGCACTGGATGGGGAAAATGACAACTGCTAGCAAAAGCACTTGTGTGGTGCCTCATGCTGCTTTGCGCCAGATGTAAAATAGGGCCCTTGGTCTTATCAACTACTCTCTCCAGTGCTGGTATACTTTATTGAAAAATAAAATGTCCCCAAATCACCAATTATGACTAACTGTAACTAGTATTAACCATAACCAACTGACATCCTAAAATAGCATAATGTTTTGTGTGTTGAACATCTACTTGTGAATTTAGGTACCGCCTGTGTCAGTAAATGTATTAATTTTTTTCATTGTGTGTACCAAATGGAAAATGATGAACCAAACAGTACACAACAAATATGTGTGCAGTTACAGCCCTATTAATTACCAATAGAGTTTGTCAAATAAGTTGGTGGTGTTGCCCCAATTTGTGCCAACAAATCACTTACTTTTGCTCAAAATTGTCTCTATGGAATCCAAAATATTTCTATACAGTGGAAGGCTAATGTATTTTAGTGACCATTCCTTGCTCACTTTTCTACTAATTTTTGTTAAATTATCCACAAATGCATCACACTGTCTTGAAAAGGAATAATCATTAAAATTGCTTGCTAAGTTTTGTTTCATATGAAGAGTAAAAATGTTTAGTGAAACTTATAAATTACCTTTTCATGAGCACTCCACCTCACCACTTGCCAAAATTTCAAAATACCAAAACTACAGCATGTACAGCAATATAATGTTCAAATGGCATGACGGTATGAATCTCAAACCAGCTGACTATTGCAGTTTTTGCGATGTGCCATTTGTATGTGCATAACATGCAATGTCGTTTTACATAACGCCAAACCCAACTTGACATGCACCGTTTTTACAAGTTCCAACCTGCATGGGTTTTTGAGTCCGTATGTATTCTTTCTTTTTAATATTGTATTAGCGGACTGAGTCGCTGAGAAGAAAAAATAATAACATTTCAATAAGAAGCTTCTATATAAATTAAGCAGGCAGACATGCTGAGCTTGATTTTCACATGTGAAGTAATAAAGAGTGTTAATTTAGACAGCTCGCCTGATGATGCTGGGATTGGCTCCTGCTTCCCTGCGACCCAGATGGATAAAGCGGTGTAGATAATGGATGGATGGATGGAATTTTGACAGCATATTTTGCTTTAGTTTAGTCTTAAGATTGACAATAATGCAATTTAGTGTTAATCATATTTTAGTCATCGTTAGTTTTAGTACAGTTACGGTCGATGAATACTACAGGAAATTGTCGGCTAAATCAACTTAAGAGATCATGACAGTGAATTTTTAACACACATTAAAAGAAAAAAATAATTTGTTTCTATTCATTGGTGCTTTTCCCTATTATTGCTGCTCAACATGGCTTGCACTGAGTCTTCTTTTCCTTTTCAGTAAATGTGAAACAGACAGAGATATGATGTATGCACTTGAAGCAGATTAGATCAGCATTACTCAATTATGCACAACTACAGTCAACACTAACTAAAGATACAACATCTGATTGGAACAGTTTCAAATTTGTCTTTTCCTTACATTTTCATCTTGTTTTTAGTCCTTGACTAAATTATTACATTTAGGGCCAGTTTCCCGAACTAGGATTAAGACTAGTCTTGAACTAAATTGCCGTTTCAATGGAGATTCACCATTGTAACTCAAAGCTAGTCTAGGCTTAGGCTTAATCCTTGACTGGGAAACTGGCCATATATCATAGTTTTCAGCATCATGAATTAATCTGTATTATTGTCCCATTTTTATTAATGAAAAATCTCTGTTGATTAATTTTAGTCATAGTCTTCATCAACAAAAATTAATGAGGAAGATGATTGGCTATAGGAATGCCTGTTTATTGATCCCTGATCCTCCTGAGCCTGTGTTATCTTCAATAGATTCAACTCTTCATCCAGGACCAGACAGGCATTGTACATGATCTACAAAAACCTGGCTATTATCCAAATACAAGCAGTGTCTAGTAGAGGTAAGTGTTTTATAATAGCTACATCCTTTCCTTTTTAGCCATATCTAAAAATAATACATTAAAGTAATTTTACTTATTTCCAGATGCAGAGGCCCAAGGTATTTGTGTGACTCCCAGACAAAACTGACAGCATGTGAAAATAGCAAAGCCCAGGCAGTATCTGCTTTTAATAAAGAATTTTGAACATTATATATTTTATTCTGTTAGATTACCTTTGTTAAATTGCTTCTGAATGCCAGTTGACTGTCTTCATGCATTACCTGTTGTTAATGCTAAGAATGTAGACACCTTGACTTTGCTTCTTGCCTCTCAGAGACATACCACTGACGCAGGTGAATCCTAAAGAGAGCAGCCAGGTTTGAACCCTACTGTTGGCAGGATTTCTTTCCTTCTTATCCGTGTACACTTACACTAATGTTAGCTGTCGGGGAATCAACCCAATAGTATTTTACTCCAAATGTACCATATCAGTCGCAAATAGCAGTGCCACAGATTAAAGCCCAAATGGAAATCTACGGGTTTAGAAGTGTTCAAATTGGCATGGTCCGACAGCCTGCAAGAAAACAAGAAAGCCCTCTATAGGGTGTGTTCAGCCTATTACTCTCACCTTATTGATCATAATAAAAATAACCCTTGCTACCTTTTCAAGACAATAGCTTATCTAACAAATAAGGCTGAACCTCTGCTACCAAGTAATTTTGGTATTTAACATTTTATATGCTTCTTTAACAATTAAATTACAACCATTAAACTTCAAACATGTTCAAATGGCTCACAGATAACTCTGATGCAAACAGAATGCGCACACACCCTGTTTTTCAATTAATCAATGAACAGGAGTTAAAAACTATAACTAAAACCAAGCTGACCATTTCTCCACTGGACCCGATCCCCACTCAACTTCTTAAAGAACACCTGGGAGTTCTGGCAAGACCTATAACTGCCATAATGAATGCATCACTGTCCTCGGGTGATGTGCCTGACCAATTTAAAGTAGCTGTAATCAAACAACTACTGAAGAAACCAAGTTTGGATCCATAGGAGCTCAACAATTACAGACCTGTCTCTAATGTACCATTTTTGTCCAAAGTTCTGGAGAAGATAGTCGCTGCTCAACTTCAGGCTTACTTTGAGGTACAAAAGATACTGAATAGATTCCAGTCAGGCTTCAGTTTGGGACACAGCACTGAAACTGCCTTAACTAAAGTCGTAAATGGCATAACAATGGCAACTGATGCTGATGTTTTTGGACCTTAGTGCAGCCTTTGCCATGGCTGACTGTTTTACTCTATTACAAAGACTTAAATTTCATGTTGGGTTGTGTGGAATGGTGTTGATGTGGTTTCAATCCTATTTGACTAATCAATATCAATACGGTGAAGTGTCAATTGTCTGTCATCAGTAAAATATGGAGTACAATAGGGATCAGTTCTTGGTCCTTTATTGTTTTCTCTCTACATGCTACCATTAGGTAACATAATAAGAAAACGTAATGTTAATTATCATTCCTATGCCAATGACACCCAAATATACAATTCAGTTACACCTAATGACACTACATCTATTGTCACTTTAGCTAATTGCTTTACCAAAGCAAACCTGGATGATTGAAACTTTTTATCAGTAAATGCTGAGAAAACCGAGGTTCTATTGTTTGGAGGCAAGTCTGCGGATAGGAATGCTATAATCTCTGCACTCCACTCCAAGGGGCTGAACTTTTCCCTCAGCAACTCAGCCCATAACCTATGCGTCATCTTAGATACAAGTCTGTCATTCGTATTGCATGTGGATGCAGTATCAAATATATGCTTCCTATAGCTACGTAACATTGCCAAACTACCACGATTCCTTACTATTCAAGACACTGGAAAATTGACACATTCTTTTGCATACAGTGGGTTAGACTACCGTAATGCTCTATTATCTGGGAGCACACATCGCTCATTAAACACCTTGTAGCATATTTAAAATGCAGCAGCTTGAATTATCACCAGGAGCTGGAAATTTGAACAGATAACCCCTGCTCGTTGTTATCTGCACTAGCTTCCTGTTAGGTTCAGGACTGACTTCAAAGTTCTCCTACTTACATATAAGGCACTTAAAAGGTCTAGCACCTGCCTACCTAACAGAATTGCCTTAGGTTTACGAGATGTATTGCCCACTCAGATCAGATCAGAACGCAGATTTCCATGTTGTTCCACATATAAATAAATTGACACCTACAGTAGCAGTAAAGCATTCTGCTACAGGGCCCCTATAATGCGGAATGGTTTTGCCAGCCTGTGTGTGGGATGCTTAATTAGTCTCAGACTTTTCAGTTTAGCTTACAGTTTAGCTCAGACTTTTCTTTATTGCTTCCCCACACTGGTGAGAATGAGACATGGAAGCATCAACATACATACCAAGGTCTTTCTCATAATCAGCTACCTTTATTTCAGTAGGTCCTATAAAATACCTGTACTTTATATTTCTACT